AAACATTACTCCCCCCCCATTACTCTATTTTTAAATCATTTTCTTCATTAGTGTAATATATTTATTCTAAGAAAATTTGCAAATCATTGATTAGGCTCCTTGCCCCTTACATCAAAGAAAATACCATTGAGATTTTGATTGAGATTGCATTATAAGTAGTTATTAATAATGATAATACTGGCATAGAAAGTATGTTATCTTGGAACTTGGTATGTCTCCATTTATTCAATTCTTTGTCTCTCAGTGTATTTTGAATGGCTTCCCCCTCCCACCCCCCCACCCCCCCCACAAGTCTAGGATCATTTTGGTAAATTTATTCTTAGGTATAAAATGTTAATTGGCATGGGATCTCTTTATCCCATTATGCCTTCTTCCTGGGTATTGATATATTTATCAGTATACCAGCTTCCTTACTGGTATACTGGTATACTGGTATACTGGCTACTCTTATTAGTTCAAATGATTTTAAGTTGATTCTTTTGGATTTTGCAAATACATTGTGTTTCATCTGTAAATAGCTATAGTTTCAGCTCCCCCTCTGTCCCTTCCACCACCAATTGTTGTACTGGATTTTATTTTCCTTATGTATGGTATTGGCCAGAATGTCCAGAATAATTGGAAATAGGGAGAGTAATAATAGGTATTCTTGCCTTGTTTCCAGAAATTCTTCTGGTTTTCTCTGCTAAGTTTGATCTTGGCTGTTGGTTTAGTGTCTTTAAATTTGCAATTTACAAGAGGTTTTAAATTGGATTAGTCATTGAGTTGTTTACTGCCAAAGTAATGCACTCAGGGTAAAGAATTCAGACTACAATACAGGACTTCAGGTGAAAAGAAGAGTTTATTTTATCCCTTTTATTTTTTCTTTCTCTCAATGGTTCTTTGTTTCTTTTCTTCTTTCCTCCCTCTCTCCCTTCCTTGGAGCTCTTATTTGTTGTATGTTTGACTACATAAAGAAAAATTACATGAAACACAAGTCATAACCAATATTATAAGATTAGCCTGGAAGAAGTTATTTACGACATATACATACATAAGTGCATACATATATGCTAAAGGACTAATTTCAAGAATATCTGAAGGACTCTTACAAATTAGTGACAAATAGACAAGCAACTACATAGAAATAGGAAAATACGTGTGTAGAGGCAACTCTTTTAAGAGATACAAATGAAAAATAAATAAATGAAAAGATGTTCAACTTTATTAATTGTTTGACTAACTGATTTTTGGGAAAGTACTCACAGATATAAGCAAGGATACAAATTCCTTTAAGGTAGGTAAGTGATACAACTCATCTGTACACATTCAGCTGTATGGAGCAGACACCCAGCAGCACCTCTATAAGAAAGGCAAGCTTCTTTATGCTTCACGGGTCACCATTTACTATACAGTCCATTATATCCTGTAAGGAGAGGATTTGTCAGGGCCTTTGACAAGCCTGCTTCATTCTTGAAGGTAGAAGAAGGATGTAAGATCTCCCTGGTCACTCTCAAGTGTTCTAGAGATCCAGGTAGGCCATATGCCTACCTGCTCAACAAGTGCAGATAACTAGTAATAAGCTTACCAGGCGCAAGTATGTTACTGATGATTTACTGTGCGAAAGCTTGGTTTTCCTTGTGTATAATACATACTATCAAGCTTTTAGTTTCTTTTCTTTTTTTTTTTTTAATTAATTAATTTATTTTCCCCCAAAGCTCCAGTAGGTAGTTGTACGTCATAGCTGCACATCTTTCTAGTTGCTGTACGTGGGATGCGGTCTCAGCATGGCCAGAGAAGCAGTGCATCGGTGTGCACCCGGGATCCTAACCCCGGGCCGCCAGCAGCAGAGCGCGCGCAGTTAACCACTAGGCCACGGAGCCGGTCCCAAGCTATTAGTTTCTAATGTATTCTTCCCTAAAAGGAATCAGGGCTCCTTGAGGAGTCCAGATGAGCTTGAAACATTATGCTGTTATAAGAAAGAAAGGTTATTTTCAGAGACATCTGGAAATTGTAACAAAAGAGGCTGACTGGAGGAATTTTCACTGGTCAGTCTGTGACAATTGAGAGTATTAAAATGGAAACAAGAATTTTAGTTAATTGAAAAGGTAAGTCTGTAAAAGGTCATAAATTCATTATATGACCAAAGGGAACAAACAATCTAAAATATGCTAAAGCATCATTTTCAAAGTGTGGTCTAGGACCCTTTCAGGGAGTTAGTGAGGTCAAAGCTGTTTTCATAATATTACTAAGAACTTATTTGCCATTTTCACTCTCATTGTCTCCCAAGGATACAGTGGAATTTTCCAGAGGCTATGAGATATGTGGTGACATCCTTGCACTGATGGAGTATGTGCTTTGTATTCTTGTGTTTTAAAAAGTCTCAATTTTAATGTCTAATACAATAAATATCGATAGAGATAACCTACGTAAACAAAAGTTATTTGGGGTCCTCAATCTTTAAGAATGTAAACACGTTCTGAGACCAAAGAGTTTGAGAATCATTGTACTAGAGAAAAGTCAATCTTACCAACATAGGTTAATCCATGAGTATTTACAGCAAAGGGGTGAGGTGAATCATTCAGTTCATTAAAGCGTATGGAATATTTTGGCTTATAATAATACAGTACTTTCAGTCTATTGATTAATTTAAATGATAATTGTAGTAATAGTGATGACGGTTTGTTTTCTAAAACATAGACATATTTACTGCTGAATGGATACTTTGAGGGTATTGAATCCTAGGTCGCTGGGTGACAATAGAAGAGGACTATACCCAGACCTGAAGCCTAGACTTCTGAGGAAATGACAGGCCTGAAAAACTGACTTTGGGTTCACCCTATCCCACCACTATAAACATTGAGAAAAGGGCTTCTTTCTTGGTTTGTTTTTTAGTGGTACATGTGCTTTGTGAGCAATTGGGCTATAGTTTGCTGAACAGTTGGGAGAGAACAAAACAACTCCCTGAGAATGCAGAGAAGGAACTTCTCAAAGCACCTGAGAGTCCTTGTGCTGATCTGAGAATATCATTGTTCCTATTTAAGGGCTAAGGAAGCTGAGAGAGGACCTTGGCTTCCTGTGGCTGTTTTAGCGCTGGTGTCACTTCTGCATTTGTTTTTATTGATTATTTCTATCATGGGTCATATTTTTCTGCTTTTCTACATGGGTAGAAATTTTTGAATGATAGATATTGTTAATTTATAGAGTAGCTGAATATTTTTATGTTCTTATAAATATTTAAGTTACTTGGAAACAGTTTAATCCTTTTGCGGCTTGCTTTTACTTTGTTAGGTGTAATCAGAGTGGCCTTTAGTCAGCTCACTAATGAGACAATACTCTTCTAGGTACTTTCCCCAGTGTCCCCCGAATTTTAGTATTTTTCCCCTTTGGCTGGTGGGAACACCTGTGTGAGCTCTGAACATCATTCTCTTGAATCCTTTGGGTAGCTCTTTCCCTGGCCTCGCACATGTGCTGGTCCGTACTTAGCTGAAGGATCAAGGAGGACCTCAGCAGGTCTACCTCTCTCTGCAGCTCTCTCCTCTCCAGTAATTTGTCCAGTGAACTCTAGTCTTCTTGGCTTTCCTGGCCTCCTAACTCCCCCTCAACTCAGAGAGACAACCAGGCTCCATCAGATTTCCCTCCCTGCACTGTGGCTAGGAAGCCCTCTCCAGGCAGTGGATGGGGGCAGTCATATAGCTCCTGTGTTCTCCTCTCCCAGGGATCACTGTCCTGTGCTACCTGATGTCCGATATCTGAAAACTGATGTTTCATATATCTTGTGTGCTCTTTTAGTTATTTCAGGCAGAATGTAAAACCAGTCCTTGTTAATCCATGTTGGCCAGAGTGGAAGTTTTGGAAGTACTTTTTGAAAAGTATAAAACACTCCTACTTTGAGGGTCAGCTGAAATGGACCTTCACCACAACAGTTATTTTCTGGCCTGTAGCTTAACATAACCAATAAGATTTCATGCCACTACAGGTGGTCCCTCAACTCAACAGTGTTTGACTTATGATTTTTTCAACTTTATGATGAAATCATATGCTTAAAGCAATGCACATTCAGTAGAAACCATACTTTGAATTTTGATCTTTTCTCAGGCTAACAATGTGAGGTTCAGTATTCCCTCGTGATTCTGGGCAGCGGCAGTGAGCCGCAGCTCCCAGTCAGCCTTGCGATCATGAAGATAAACAACCAATACACTTATAGGCATTCTGTACTCATACAACCATTCTGTTCTTTACTTTCAGGACTCGATAAATGACATGAGATGTTCAACGCTTTATTATAAAATAGGCTTTGTGTTAGATGATTTTGCCCAGCTGTAGGCTAATGTCAGTGTTCTGAGCATGTTTAAGATACGCTCAGCTAAGCTTATGATGTTTGGTAGGTTAGGTGTATTAAATGCAGTTTGACTTACAATATTTTCAACTTACGATGGGCTTATCAGAATGTAACTCCATCGTAAGTCAAGGAAGATCTGTATAAAATAAAGTCTGACTGTGGTAAGATTCAGGTGGATCTTTCTTTCTAGATTGGCAGGAATTCATGTTTCCTACTCATAGTAATCTTACTTTGCTTCTTTTTGCACGTGTGTTACTCAACCTGGAATGTACACTGCCTTTCCTTTACGTGTTCCCTAAACTCACTTCTGTTAACGAATTCTGTTCTTTCCATTACTTGACTCTGTCTCTGTTAGTACCAAGGAGATTCTTGTATGATACTAATTTATTACTGAAATGTTGCTTTGTTTATGTTCTTGTAATTCTTCATATATTGAATAACTTCAGATTCTGAATGTCCTAGGCCTTGTGTGGCAGGGACTTTCTTTCATTTTTCTATTTTCTCATTCTTGGGAAAATAGACCTAATTTTTCTTTACTTACCACCCATCTCATACAGGGACTGACATAAAGCACAATCAGTAAAATTACAATGATAAGGATTTTCTGGGTTTTCTCTATTGATGATTCAAACATATAAGATGGACACAGTGATTTTGATTGGAAAATTTAATTTCTTTTCAGGTGATTTCAAGTATGATTTACTATGTAAAGAAGAATTTATTGAACTGAAGGACATATTCTCTGTCAAACTGAAGCGACGTTATTCTGCAAAACAGCAGAGAAGTGGTACTTTGTTAGGTATCACACTCTTCATATGTTTGAAAACGAAACAAAATAAATTAAAAGATTCTACACTTGATCTTATTAATTTAAGTGAAGACCACTGTGATGTATGGTTTAGACAGTTCAAGAAAATTTTGGCAGGTAAGTACTCCTTATGAGAATTTTTAATAACTCTAGTTTCCTTGATGTAGTTTATTAATCTAAACATGATATTGTATTTATGAATACAGTTACCCTTGATTATTTTGAGGTAGTTTCCTTCTGTTCCTAGCTTGTTGAATGTTTTAATCATAAAAGAGTTGACTTTTGTCACATGCTTTTTCTACGTTAATTGAGATGATCATATAATTTTTTTCCTTCATTCTGTTCATGTGGTGTGTTACATTGATTGATTTTCAAATGTTGAACCATCCTTGCATTCCAAGTGAGAATAAATCCCACTTGGTCATGGTATATAATTCTTTTAACATGTTATTGACTTTGGTTTCCTGGTCTTTTGTTGAGGATTTTTACATTAATATTTGTAAGAGATTTGGTCTGTAGTTTTTTTTTTTTTCCTTGTAGTATCTCTGTCTGGCTTTGATATCAGGATAGTGCTGGTCTCATGGAATGAGTTAGGAAGTAACTCTTGAATGACCACTTCGGTAAAGAAGCTTTGATAATCTGAAATAACACAGTTCTTAAATAATTTTGTTCACTTGAGAGTTGTTTTTGAAAGCATATTTATTTTTCTGTTAATGTCTCCCTTGAGTTTATATTAGAATTTATTTTCTTTCCACCTAAACATTGATGGAAAGTACATATATGTATTGGGTAGCTTGAGAATAACAGTTTTTTGAAGATAATATTTAAGTTGTCTATTTCAGGGTAGATTTTTCTAAAGGTTAATAGCCAGAGAAAAGAGACTATATTTATCAGCATGGTATCTCCTAATGAATTTAGTGTATCTGAAATTTCTATATATTTTACATACTAAATAAAATGAGTGAATTCAAATACAATGCAATTTGGATTTCTGGAAGGTATCCAGTTAAAATATAATCAAACTAAATTTTAAGATTGATTTTTTTTTTCCTCATAGATTTGTAAATCTTGCTTGCTTGGTTTTTAGCTCATTTCTTCCTGTTTGCCAGATTGATCAGGGTAGAGACAGGTGGTGTAGTTGGTGGCACAGTTTGGGGTAGGATGACACAGGACAGAGATGGGTGCCAGACAAAGTGCAGGCATGTGGTGATGTTAGAAAGTTTCAGGCTACGCATCATTGGTCAACAAAACTGAGGACACAAATTGGTCAAGAGTGGCCAAGCTGATAAGGTCATGCCCATAGAAAAGGAGCTGAAATGACGTATTAAAACTAGAAGATCCTGTTACTAAGTGGCCCCATGCTTCCTTGTTAGCCCCACTGAGACCTTCAAGGAGACGATTCTTTCAAGAAGGCAGGAAACTACAGAGGCCATAGTTTAGTTCATCTCTCTGGAAACACAGAGAATATACATATTTAACTAAAAACATTTCACTTTAACCGTGTGTTTTATGGTATTCTTATTTTAAAGTCATGTGATGAGATTTAAAAAAGTTAAAATAAAAATGAAAAATTAATAAGTTCAGTTGAATTAAATTTCCTTACATGGGCAGGTGCTCATGAGACTTGCATGGTCTATAAAATAAGAATGTGTCATGTGATTAGGAGAAGCAAAGCTCTTCCTTGCCCTGAACGTCTGAGGAAATCTTCTCCCACGGGGCTCATGAAGGGCTGGCTGAGGGATGTGAGAGGCAATTTCCTCAGTGTGTCTCACCCATAAAACCAATAGTGAATAAGCAGAGGACATCACAACAGAGCTCAATTTAGTAAAAGCAATTTTATAGAAGTAGAGGGACTTGTTCAAAACACATGCACAAAAACAAAAAAACACTGTCCAAATATTTTTTCAGCTTAATGGATAATGTTTTGATTTGGGTTAGGCTTAAAACATAGGCAAATTACAGAGATGAATAAACTACATATCTTGTAGGCTATTGTCCTCTGGGAATGTTACTCTTTGTACCTTTGATTTTCATAAGAGTTGGAGGCAGTAAAATATATGGGGATATGTTCTCTGGCATGGTCCTGGAATCTAGAGTGATTTTGCTGATTAAAAGCAAATAGATTGACGTTTGAAATCAACCAATGCAAACAAACAAACAAAACAGGATTGAAATCATCTAGTAAAAATGAAGGAACATAACCAAGATCGTCTGAGTGAATAACTGCTCCATCTCTGACCCCAAGTGGGCTCAGCAAGTCCTGTAGGAAGAGCCAACTCCTCCTTTTCCCCCTACAAAGACGGTTCTGGGTCAGCTTCGTCATACATAATTGAATGGTCGAGGCTCCAAAGCTCTCTACCAAACATTATATTGCACTGACTTTTCCTTTTTAAGGTTACAATCGTAGAACATTTTTCTTGATGTTTCTTTCACTTTCAAATCCATGTGATCCGTGTGTTCATTAAAGTGCCTATCATCTGAGAGTCAAATACTGCAATTGACTCAAGCCTTATTCTACAAGTGCAGGGGGTCTGTGTCTTTCCCAGTCTTTCTGGAGTAGGAGTAATTGCTTACTTTTTCCTGGTCTTCTCTGGCTCTGATTTCCATGGAGTTAGGTCTATTTGTGGATTATCTTCCTGTCTCACATCCACTGTCCCTATTCTGGGCTATACTGCATCAGGTTTGGCAGATGGTGATTGTTTATTGGTTTCCAAAAAAATTTTTAAAAGTCCCCACCCAAGGAATTCGTGTTTGAAGCAGACTTGACTTAAGTTTGAGGGGTGATAGATACAAATTTACATCACAACGATATAAATGACTTACATTTGAATATTAGACATCACTATTTTAAATCCAAAGGCCTTGTTTTTATCTGGTTCTGTGGCAACACCAGATTTTTTTAAAAAATATTTTTGCATTGATTTATTTTGAATGTTGTCTCTAATCAGCAAATGGAATTTTTTCCTGCCAACCTTTTTCATCTTTATCTCCTTTTTTTCTTCTGTTAAGAAAAATATTAAAAAGACATTAAAAGCCTCAACTAGTTGGTCTTTTAGTCTAATTAGTCTAGCAATTATAATTTTAGTATATTTGGGTATTGAGTTATTTTCAAATGTGCACATGAATAAGATACGATGAATTTTTGAGGAAAGAACAAATTGGCAGCACTAGAAGGATGAAGAAGGCAACTTGCAAATACTTGAAGTTTTAAGACTAATTGAGAAAGAATGACCAGATTAAAGTGCGTTTATAAATGTAAACAAGGAGTATTAGAACTGTTTCAATTTTTATTTGAAAATAAGTTGAATCCTTTTACATCCCAAATTTTTTTAACACAGTTGAGGCCAGTATCTTTTTTATTCTTAGTAATAGAAAAGTCACTTTAAATTTATTGACTAATAGACAGTATAGGTTAATTGATCCAACACACGTCTTGTATCAGGCATTGTGTTAAGTGCTGGGAATACAAAACTGAATGAGATGTAATCCTGTGTAGAACACTCTTGCCCTGAGAGACAGACAAGAAAATTCGTATTATAAATGTGTTAAGGGCCACAATGAAGATTCAAACAGACTAATAGGGCTCATAACAATTGTTCATTGATTCAGAAATTCAAATCTTTAAAACATGTGGTTGATTAAGGCTGATATGTAGTCAGTGATAAGCCTGATATGTAGTTATTGTGGTGCAAGTCATTTAACACAGTCTTTTTTGCTTTTTCTTTTTACCTGTGATGCAAAGATAAACCTCCATAACTTTAAATATAGCATGTGTGTGCACTAAATATGTTAATTTTTATTCAATTAGAGTGTAGTCTAGTTTCTGCACATTTGGGTTTCATGGAAATGGTGAATTGCGAGCATCTCTGGCCCTGAACCAACCTTTTCTCTAGCAACCATAACCTATACTTTAAAGCATATTCATAAGCTTTCAGACAGGTACCCTCTACAGGAGGACAAAACAAAGTACCCCTCAGGTGATATTCAGGGCTGCTATAAACTGAAAGATTTTATAGGAGTTGAACTGGCTGATCTCCCGTGGAGGATTTAGCAGAAGGCTGTGGAAGAGAAGAAAAAGGGAAACAAAACAAAAATAAAACCGAAAACCTCTAAAACCTTATGCCCAAGTAACTTGGAAAATGGTAATGTCATTAACAGATGTAGTGAAATCAGGACACTGGTTGATCTGAAGGAAAGACATTCTGGTTTAGACACATTTGAGATATATTACAATATCCTGTTGGAGGCATTTAGCAGGCTGGCATTTTTGAGAGGAATACATGAACAGGTGAAAAAGAGTTGATGTGATGGGAACAGATGAAAGCTTGCAAGGAAGTAGCATAGAGTTAGAAAAACAAAAGCAGAGGGCTGAATACAGACTTGGAGGATACCCATATATTAAAATAGGCAGAGAAGACAAAAGCCAGAACTAAAAAATAGAAAGAATTGTCAAAAAATATACATAAGAACTCTTCTAGCATAGGACTAGTGAATTTTGTTGTTATATTTAGGTTTGCTAATTTACTTGTAATATTTAATAGTTACCCTGAGATAACTAACAAAGGCATTTTTAGCGCATATCTGATTGTTACTTCTGATATAGTTTTCTGTTTCATTTGTAAATGTTAATTTCATGAAGTAGGCAAATATAGATGAACCATATTTGATATATTTTGTCCTTGTAATGTAGTCTGCTCTTAGCTTCTATTTCAACAGTCTCACTCAGTTTTAAGCTATGAAAAATAAAGAAAATGGAAAAATTCCTTAAATATATTTTTTTTATCCCTAAGAACAACAATTTTTCCTAGTTTCCCACTGGATTTCAAACCTGTTTCCCATATGGTGGTAATGTTAGTCTTCATAGGATGCTTTCCTTGATAGCAAAAACGAGAGCTTCTTAAAACATTGATTCTGTTTAATATTTATGTTGTCTTGTATAAGAAAGTCATGATGAATGTGTATTTGGGCTTTTTTTTTAATCTAAGCTATATCATCAATTATATTATCATGAACTAGGCAAAAATTTTCTTGGGAGAACAGAACAATGTGAAGTTTTACTTGGATTTGCTGCCAAGTGATGTACGTATAAGGAAAAATAAGCTGGAAATCAACATTAT